AAATCTTGGGGCCATGTGTATGTGTCCATCACATTGTGGGGTTGACTGTGTGTGCTGACGTATGTGTCTTTCTTCCATTTTTTATGGTTGGTTTTTATGTACAAGGAGAGAGAGAGAGCTCATAATTATATTTGTCGACTTGTGAGCATGAGAAAGCCTGTCCAGGGCGACCAATAAAACAATAGATTTACGACGCTGCCCTGTAGGTGCAAGCTCGCCCACTTCCTTTTCTCGTGGAAGGCTTCTGTCATCAGGACCCCATTTCCCATAACGACATACACTTTTGGGGGTGTTCTGTGTGCTCTCGGGTACCGAGGCACTGCCATTTCTATTAATGTCATTATATAAAGCTTTTGCATCAGGAAAGAAAATGTAATCACCTTTTGTGTATGTTAGCTACTGATGATGTATCTCTGCAAGGGGTTCAGCATTACTGAGGTTTTACACTGAAACCTGTAAGCCGTGCTAAACCCATTCCTGGGCTTAATATTAAGTATTTTGGTGCCACTGAATTACATTTTTTCATCACTGGATCAAAACCTCAAGCTTTCATTGTTACCCTCCTTCCACTTTCTACTCTCCTGCCTGCTTGCCCTACATTCAGATCGCCCCCTCGCTACTCCTATCTCAGTTTATTTATTTCCTTTTTTTTCAGAGGCGGCTTTGTAAATTTCGGAGCATCACAGTTAAAATTAAGACAACATCATTAGAGAGACTTTCACGTGCCAGAGGTGTGTTAAAAATTCAGATTGATGCACACAAAGGGCGTAGAGGATTGCCAGGGAGATGGAAGCAGAAACCCCCAGAGATGCTCCCATCAAGCATAAATGAGGCCAATCTTTCCACAGAGTGTGACATTGCAGCTCCAACCAAGGGTCCCCCCACCCTTCATGTCACAGATCTGAGAATGGTCCTCAACAATCGCAGCATCAATCACTGAACGACATAGAGACTTTGCCAATCTCAGTGTAGCCCCTTAGCTCAACTAAAGGGCTTAGTTCCGTTTTTGATCCTTTCCCCCCCTTTCTGGATGTGAGGACTGGGTAGGTCCATATTTCCTCCAGCGAGTAGAAGAAGATGAATAGACTATAGATGAATAACACTAGATGTAATTCTATGGATCAAATAGAAAGCTGAAGAGAAAGCCCCTACTAATTAGTGAATTTGGGAGACTAATGACAAAGGTCTGTTTTAATTAAAAAGGAGAAAGTGAGTTGTACTCTCAGCATATGTTACAAGGCTTCTGTCATTTATATCATTAATAATCCAGTGATCATTTATTGATCACTCATGTTGTACTTTGATGTTCTTTGCTAAGGTGGGCATGGGTCACATGTATAGTCGTACGTAGTAAAAACATCAACCAAAGCTGATGGAAAACTTCCTCAGTAACAGTCTGTCCAAAGTGCAAATGAACTATTTTGTCCGATAGCCAAATGGCTCATGAATGTCCAGATTTTACCAGCCACTCAACAGATTACTGTTGTTTTTTGGCTGCTGAGTGGGGCAAATATGCCAGCCACTTGCATATTTTACCAGCATTTGGCTGGTGCTAATTTGGTGCTGGGTCTGTCACAGGATATGTAGCCTGGTTTAAATATTGAAGAAAAGTTTCATAGCCAGTATATTCCATCATAAATGCTTATTGGATGGTCAAATAACCCCCCCTCCCCCCACAGCTTTCCAACTATGAACACTTTCGACGTCAGGTCAACAACATGTCTTACAAGCTAGTTCTGAGGCAGCATAAACCGATATGAGTCTCTTGCCTCTTTTTTAACCGCTCTGCTGCAACAACAGTTAATAAGGAATGACTTGCATGTGTTCAGGGGAGAGGAAATTCTGTGGAGTAATGCTGTAGAGCTGTTAAACAAAAGTAGACTCGTATCCTTACAGAGGTGGTGGATGTTTTCGTCCTCCTCAAGCAGTCTCACCCTCCGTTTTTGACGGGTAAATTGCTTTTCGCTACATAATGCTGTCTCAGGAGGCTCACATGCTGTAGTTGGGATAAGTGAGAGAGTTCCTTTCATGCTGCTGTGTGCTCTGTGTGTGTATAATGATACACATTTGCATCACCTGTCTGTCTGTCTGTCTGTCTGTCCTGTCTCTCTCTCTGCTCTCTCTCTCTCTCTCTCTCCTCTCTCTCTCTCTCTCTCTCTCTCTCTCTCTCTCTCTCTCACCCACCTACCCCAACTGGTCGAGACAGACGACCACCCACCTAGAGCCGAAGGATCTGTCCGAGGTTTCTGCCTTTTAACAGTCAGTTTTTCCTTGCCCTTGTCGCCAAGTGCTTGCTCATGGTGGTACTGTTGGGTCTCTGTAAATAATGTTATAAAGAGTTCGGTCTAGACCTGCTCTATTTGAAGAGTGTCCTGAGATAACTTCTCTTATGAATTGGCGCTATACAAATAAAATTGAATTGAATTGAATCTACATATCTGTCCTTCAGAGGGGTGAGCATGCTGAGATTGTAGCATAGAGCCTCACTAAAACAGATTTTTAATCTCTACTGTTTTCCTTGAAATTACATTCAATCATACTTCTCACAAAATAAACTGGTTATACACTGTAAAATAGAGCTCAACTTTAAGTGTATGCCTTTTATAACGAATGTGTTTGGTCTGTGTATAATGTGATGTGATGGTTGGATTCCTCTGCGTCCTGATTGCTGTCCTCACGCTCTCGATCTCGTGCCTACTTCTGCTCTGCAGCCTCAGACTCCTAATTGGCTTCCCTGCTACCATTGTGTCCGTGAGTGTACCATTCCAGTGGGTTTCGCCATTTCCAGTTTTCAGCTGTAATTCGGCCCCTTGTATGTTTTCGTAAGGAGCCTATATAGGTTTAATTGTAGTGTTGCCTTCCTGCTGTGTGGCTAGCTGAGGGTCTGCAGGTTTTGCTCCGTTTAGTTCGGTTTAAGCAGAGCTGGCCGACATATGGGCCGTGTAGCAGTACCCTGCAGTTGGTCTCATTTTGTCTTTATTGTCCCGTCTTTGTTTGTGTCTGGACTTGGAAGGGTTGTTGCCGTTACCTTTCATATTTCCCAGTGGTTCACAATTCTTTCTCTTTACCTCAAGGATTTATAGCATTGTGACTTTGAGACTGGGGAACATGGTGCTTGATCTCCCCCCCCCCCAGAAACCCCATCAAATCAGTGTTGAGCTCTTTTTTTTCAATTTACTTGTTGTCTGTGGCATTGTGGAAACGCAGGTGACGCAAACTGTCACCTGTTAACCCACTCCACCTTTTTTCACCCCTCTTAAAGCCTCAAAGCGTGCACATGTGCACACACATACACACTTATTCCTCTATGCCTGTTAATAATTAATTGGATCTCTGGAGCTTGTGTGTGTGCGTGCATGCGCATGCTTGTCTGCGTGTTCAGGAAGAGCACGAGCGAAAGCGATGCATACCAGATGTTTTAGAAATGAGGTGGGTTTCACTGGAACGTAACACATTCCCAGGGATGTTTGCGGAAAGAAATTCTTCCTCATCTGTCGAGCATGTTTTGCGCACCCCCGTCCCCCCAGGAGGGTATACATCCAGTTTACTTGTCCGTTTTTTCGCTCTGTCTCGTCTTTTTTAGATCCACAACTTTGTGCTTGTATGTGTCCCTTGTGCATCTGTTAACACCATGTAGATGTTGGTGTGTTTGACACGGCTGAAGCTGTTTTGATTTTGTAGACACAGCAGCACAGTGGTTCAGGGTGGTGAGGATGGAGGGGCAGATGAATTGGCAGTGGCTACAGATTGAATGGTCACTGATTAATATCTGCTCACTATTTTCTTGATTCTTCAATGAATTGTTTGGTCTTTTAAAGGGCAGAAAATGGGTCAAAATATAATATATAACAAGTGTTTCAGTCCAAGTCTTCAAATTGGTTGTTTGCACCCAAAGAGATTCAGTTGCGGCTTCACACACGACAAAGAAAAGCAGATAACTGTCACATTTCAATGGATATTTCAAAGCAAATTTAATGATAACTCAGTTATCAGAATAGTTTCCAGTTATTTTTCTGTCAGTTGATTAACTGACCAATCATTTTAGCTCTACCACCAGCCCTGGAGCTGAACTAGACGTTGAGCAAATGTCACCCATGAAAGGTGTGAAATGGGCTCATATGGCAGCATGATGCTTGTCACACTGCAGTTGTCATTTTTAGACCAGTCTGCTATTAAATGAACAAAACTAGTCATTCTGGCTTCATACATGTTTTAAAAAATAAAATTAGTCTGCTTGCCTAACCCATACGAACTAAAAAGTTGAATTCAAATTTTTTAAAATCGCATCTACTCTTTCTCCCTCATTGAGCAATGCAAATGTGGTTCATCTCAAAAGTGAAACTGATAAACACGAGATGTCTCATACTTATTTGAAAATTCCATTTTCAGCTCAGGAGGTTTCAAGTTCCCACATGTAAGATGCATATTGAACCAAGATTGGCTAAACCAATCAGCCACATCAGTACCAAGACCAACATCATCACAACTTCTGTTCCTCAGAAAAATGATCACAGAAATAAGCTATGCCAAAACTGTTATTTCCATTCGCCTGACTCATAGTCTGTAACTGTAACTTCAGACGCCCAGGTGGTGACTCTTCATCCATCCGGCTCTGCCTCATCACCTCAGCAACCGCCTCCATGGCTCTGAGAGTAGATCAACAAGATCAACCTCTGTGCTGCAGGCAGGCTGGTTTGGGATAAAATATCCCCTCCTCTTGCTTAAAGGCAGAATTTTGTAATGAAGAACAGAGTGGTTTGATCCATATTCAAGCATTATTATTCTAATGATACAAGAACTGTTCATTTCTGTAAAGCTTCACTTCTCTTAAGTGTTTAAGTCATGGCTGTAATGCAGTTGTGTTTTCCTGTTTGAATCCTGGACTACACAAATCATTTCCTGCTGTCTACCCATGCACATTCCTGCCACTTTAAAGCCCTGCTTTAATGTTTGTTAAATTACCATTTGACTCTTCCTTTCTTCTTCTTTTTTTGTTACAGTCCTCTGCGCCAAAAACCTGGTGAAGAAAGACTTCTTCCGTAAGTATCTGCCAATTCCAGCTGTTTATGATAAACCTATATTTGCTTTTCACACCCTGTTTGGTTTTCAGTTTTGGTTTTGAGGGTATGATGCATGCACTGTAAAATGTAGGCACTCTTTGGGCTGATAAAGTGCCTGCTGTCAGCTGTCGCTAGCCTTCAACGACACACTAAGATCTGCTTATTTAGCCATTTCAACAGATGTGATTCAACTTGTTGTAAGACAATATTTTGTAAAATATTATACATTTCCATTTTGGGCAACTTTTCTGCTACCACTTTGCATAAAATACCCAGATCATTTTCCCCACTAAAGACTTAATAACTCATGTGTAGATGTCTTTAGTGTTGTGAGTGTTTGGGTGTGTTTGGGTCAGGCTGTCATGGTGAATGAGCATGTTAAAGGTCTTCTGCTCACTCAGGTGGTTTCTGTGGTGCCCATTCCTGCCATTCCAACGCCCAGGAGCTGAGCAAACATTCAGTTAGGGAGTTGGTGGAGAGTAGCACTGAAACCATAGATAAAAATTGTCTGTGTGTGTGGGTCTTTATTTCTGAACGAAAAGCCATTGCGCACAAGTCCGTGTTTTTCGCCAGAAATTGTCACGCGTTTAAAAAATTGTCCGACCTCTCTTTAGACACCGACTCCGAAACTCTCAGTCAGTGTGCAAGGTTTCCATGCGTAATGAATTTAATCGGACGACAGATTAAAGAGAAAACGTAAACGAAAAATATGGACTTGATGTGCAAAGGCCTTGAATCTATAATGTGCATGCAACGTGTGTGTGTGTGTGTCAGTTATTGTGCTTGCTTCAACCACATGTACGCCGTCCACAGCAAGGAAAATGTTACAGACCTTCCATAAATAATCGTTTGAATTACTTAATTCATTAGTTGGAGAACAGTTTACTTGTAACTCCCAACAGCCTATTTTCCTTCCAAATGTTTGAGGATATTCTTATGAAAAGGTTCAGGATCATATAAGGTGTGCCGCTTCTCAACCCTGTGAGTTAGTCTCTCGTCATCATGGTTTTGGCACAAAGCCCTGAAGGCAAAGTCCTCCCATCTGCTGACTGGAGGGGAGTCTGCGTTGATTTTGACCAATGAACAGTGGTTGGAAGTGAAGCAAGTGCACAAAACAAGCGACATGCCGCTCAGCCTGTTTGCTGACGCATGGAGGAGCTTAGGACATCTTCATCGGGAAAAACTGAAACAATCTGATGTTCTGTGTAGGATGTCAGAAATAGTTTCTATAACAAATAATCAGAGGCCAAAGAGATTCTGTTTCTCAGAATATAAAACAGAGAAAAGCAAACACCCTTTATACAATACTGCAGCCAACTCTTTCTGCATGTTGTGACTAATAAACATTTGGTATTTTTCTTTATGTCTGAGTTTAAGAATTCAGTGAATCTCAGTTATCCCCAACTGTAGTTTTGTCACCAAATGAACTTTTGGATTAAAATACACAGAAACAAATGTGGAAGTAAACAATGAGTAATCTGTTACTGGTCCCGTAGAAGGAAACTGTGTTGTAGACACCACAGCATCTGTGTCACTTGTATTTATCACCATCTGTCACGTAGCAAGCTAACACCGCTGTGTAGTGTTGTCATTTGTGTCCTGTTAAATTGTTTATTTGTTATTTATGTTGGTGAATGTGGCTGAAGCTGAGCACAGTGTCGTCGTGTTTTTCCTCCTCTCCCCGCAGGCCTCCCTGATCCCTTTGCCAAGGTTGTTGTGGACGGTTCAGGGCAATGCCACTCCACAGACACTGTGAGGAACACACTTGACCCCAAGTGGAATCAACACTACGACCTGTGAGTGCCTGAGACATTGAAACATTTTTCATTTCTAGTGTCCATGGTTCAAAGTCAAAATATCAGATTCCTTTGTTGTTTATTTGAATACCTCCCACCCTCCTAAAGACCTAATGTGATTACAAACAGCAGTTTGGGCTCGGCTATTACAATGCCTCACAATTTTTCTTTCTTTCTTGAACCTCAATAAGCGAGCACACTGAGACGTGTCAGGCTGTGCCATTAACAGGACCTAAACAGTAACAGATGCAAACAGCTCTTGCATCTGCTCTCTCACTTATCTAGATACTCTTTAATGACATATCCCTTCAGCGCCAGCAAAGAGTCTAAAAATGTCCTTTGGAGCAGTATTTAAAGAAACAGAAAAGGAGGGGCGTCCCCAATAGTATTTTCTTCCATTGAGTGAAACACGTGCATGTCTTGTTGTACCCAGATTGCTTTTCCCAAAGATGGTTTGTCCTGTGAAAGTAACCTGGAAGGAAAATATAGAGCCGGAGCGCGTGAGTGAAAATGTGAGAGTGAAAATTTCCAGTATTCGCCCCGGTGTTTATCCAACCGTCATGCATAGCCAACAGCGAGAGGAAGCACGTGTCTCCGTTTGTTTGGTTGCCGGGGATACAGCAAACCCTCTCTCTACATGGCTGTTAAATTAGCTACTCGTGTCACATTTGACAAGGGGGGGGGTAAAGTCACGCACGCACCTTTTGCAAAGATTGATCGATGGAGACTCAGACTCGTGGCTCAGTGGGAGCCTCTCTTCGGCTAATTTGTCCCAAGAGCCTGCTGACTGCAGTTCGCGTTTTCTGTGCCAGTGATAAGTTCAACCCCAGTGTGCCCTCCTATACTGTCTGTCAGTTTTTATCCACACAGCCAGCAGAAGGACTCTTTTTAATTGACTGAGAGTAGCGTAAAAAAAACCGTCTGGCTGGCTCACACTTATTAAAATAGGGCCCGCAACACCTGGTGTTCCGAATACAGCCTAGTGCATTAAAGCTGTTGGCAGTGATTCTTTTTTTCCATTTGTTGTATGTGCTCATGTGAGGGTGTAGTGAGCCTGTGTGTGTGTGTGTCTGTGTGTCTGTGTGTCTGTGTGTCTGTGTGTCTGTGTCTGTGTCTGTGTCTGTGTCCAGGGCCTTGGTTTCATTGGTCAGCCACAGCCAGCGAACTGGCCCGTGAACTGTGACCCCCTCAGCATTGTTGCAGGATGTGGCCGGCATGCCAGGGATAGCAGACGCAGTCTATCTGGCTGCCTGCCTTTCTCACAGTCACTCTGCCTGCACCGAGTTTTCTAAAACAATCACTTGAAGCATTAGCATAACAACCACTCGTGAGGAAAAGGGACACAGTGATTTATTTATTTATTTTTTTAGAGGACCTTCATCTTCACAGTGAGTGTTTTCAAGCAGGAGTCGTCCCCCCCCCCAACCCCAGTGCGCAGTCAATCACATTTGGTTAATTAGGAGTTCTTCAAACATGGCGTTATTAAAACATCTGCAGTGTTAAGTGCCCAGTCTAGACTCAGATTATTTACGCCCTCTCATCCATCCGTTGTCCTCCCACCATCCGAGCTGAATTTCTATGGAAGCGCCCAGTTATAACAGAAACATGGTTAATGGCTTTATTAGATCTCTTTTAGTGTTACGTATGTAATTTAATTAGTGTTGGCGCAAAAGGAAAAGAGTGGCACAGTGCAGAAGAAGAATAAGAGATTCACCTGATATTAAAATAAACAGAAGGGACGAACCAAACACGAGCTCTAGATTGGGGCATTTGTGTTTTTTGTGCATTTCGTGGCCACCGTTGCCCTTGGAAGGAGAGGGTGAAGCATCGGATTTACACCGCTAGATGCCACTAAATCTTAAACACTGGACCTTAATAAATAGTGATTATTATTATTATTATTATTATTTTTATTATTATTATTTTTATCAAATAAATTAGGCTACTCTACAATCTGTCCATGTGCCCACTGGGTTACAAGGCCTCCTGGTTAGGAATAGTGTTAAGTTTGTGTTCCGTTCACTAGTGGAAGTCCACGTATTAAAACGTCTGATCAATCACCAGGAGGCTGCAGTCCCGTGTAAAGCAGGCTTTTCCCTTTTTGTTTCTGTTTGTATCTCAGATTGTGACTTTAGTGCTGCTGTTCCTTTCACTTTGAGCATATGTTCTTGGCAGTAACTTGGCAGGAAAAAAACACTAAAAACAGTGCCAAAGATGCCTATTGTATGAATACAGTCTGCCAAATAAAAGGATGTATTTAGAAAGCACATCTGACTCTTTAAATCTGCTGCTTTTTGCTTTTTATTGCAAGTTTCCCATTGTCTCTGGTGCAGCGTGTGTGTGTTATTGCCTATGACTGGTATTAAAAAACTTAGCCAGACTAATGAATTTTATTACATGAAGGGTGATCCAGATGACTGGGGTTTGGTTATAATACTTCCCTCCCGTCACGTCTGTCTGACATAGCAGCTCTCTCACATCGCACCCCAGACAGGCATTTGGCATCGACTCAAAATGTCCAGACGTCTTACTCACAGCCCCATTGTTTCATATCCCTTTTGGTAACCGGCATGATAATTACAGTGGGATGCAGTTCTGCGAAACGTACCGATGATTAGTTTTAGACTGAAGGAGGGAGCCCACCCGAGCAGATGTGCCACAACAGGTTCACATGGTGAGATTTTATCAAACCCTCAGCTGTGTCTGACACACGAGGAGAGGGAGAGAAGACACAAATGCACAGAAGGAGACAGATGCAGGCAGTCAGGAAATAGTCTGTTCCATTTACCTACACATCTTTGGTTGTCTGTATACAATATCATTACCTCAACATGTTCTTTACTTAAATAGCAAATAATTGTTCTGTTAAAGTTGTTTGTTGTCGAAGCATGTCAGTCCACCACTTTGATCCATACTGAAACATCTCAACAACTATTTGATGGATTGTCTTTTGAATTTGGTTTTACGCATTTATGTTCCCATTCTTCATCTACCGCCATCATCAGGTCAAAATTTCAAAAGTCAATTTCTTTGATTTGACTAAATACCTGCAAAAGTAATGACATTCCCATCCTCCTCCTGAGCAAATATTACCATGCTAGCACACTAAACTAAGATGGTCAACATTATACCCATTTAACATCAGCATATTAGCATGCTGGCGTTAGCATTTAGCTCAAAGCACCACTGTGCCCTAGTACATCCTCTCAGAGCTGGAAGCATGGCTGTAGCCTCCCAGTCTTGAATGATCTTTCATCCTGTAATTATTGATTTAATTCTACCTCTTACTACGTGATTGCTTGTTCATTTTCTCCACATTAGTGCAATCCTCTGTCTCCCTCTCCATGCAGCTTAATCACAGCTGTCTCATATATTTGCAGTATAGTATAGTTTATGACTTTTTTATTACTTCTCTCACACAAACAATTTCAAAATAGTTTACTTGGAGGAAAAACAACCCTTGAATTGTATAACTAATATTACAACCCACCACATTTGACAGCATGATTGATGACTGTTTAAACCCCATTACATTTTCAATTAAGCTTGTTCAATCAAGCTGGTCATTTAGATTTTTCATATAAACCAAAGGGTGCTAGGGAGCTAAAAGCTTTGGTTTCAGCCTAATTTAAAAATCCATTTTGTAGAACAAATGTAGACACCTTTTTCCACAGTCTGGCAGATCCTTAGAAACATTGTCCGACTTTCAAATATTTTTATAGTTGCAGAAGTTTTGTTGCTCCTCATCACGTCACTGTCATCTCTCTACTGTCTCTCTCCTCCCTCGGCCCTCCGTCTCACTGCCCCTGATATGTGGGACGGTGCTGCTGTGAATATTATAAATGATTCACAGGGTCGCAGTCTGCTTGTGGTGCACTGTCTCATACTCAGACGCTAAGGGTCAGATTTACACATTCACATGCACTGGCACGAAAATCCCTCTCAGCCACCCCACCTTCCTCCTCCGCCTCCGTGTCCTGGCTGTGTCTTTTAATGTGTCCTTGACGAGGCCACTTAGCGGTAGCCTCTGTGGCGGATGTGTGGCTCCTTTGGACATGCTGACTGAGACATTACCGGTGCTTCTCTTATAAGATATTATAAGCTTTAGTTACACTTGTATAGCTGTACAATCATGCAATTATTAAACAGCTGTTACGTTTCATGCAGTCGCACAGTGATTCTCTTAGCGTCTGTGAGAGAGCTTATCATTATTGAATATTAATCATGTCTCCCTCTTCTCTCTTTCCCCTCAGATACATTGGGAAATCAGATTCTATCACCATAAGCGTGTGGAATCACAAGAAGATTCACAAGAAGCAAGGGGCTGGGTTCCTGGGCTGTGTCCGCCTTCTGTCCAACGCTATCAACCGCCTTAAGGACACGGGCTGTAAGTGTCAGTATTACTCTAATATAGCAACCCGTTAATGTCATTTCTTACTATCTTTTGAACTCTCTGAGCTGTGAGGGACTGTGTCACTCTGTCAAGTCACTAGTGGAAGGAACCTTGTTGTATATTAGCCAGTTTTGCGTCAGCCATTCCTGGCGCTAACAGTATTCTGAGTTCATTTCTTTCTACTTGGTTGGAGAATTAATTATTGTTACTCGTGAGACATCAATGCTAAAATGAAGCTTGTCCATCAAGCCTGTCTGGTACCTGCAGTGTGTTAAGAAGCTGACGTTAATAACATAATGCTGCTGTCAGGGCTAAGTGACAGAACATAGGGTAGCTCCGTTTAGTGTCCTGTCTCCCTCACTAGGTCTGACAGAGGCCAGACCTGTGTGTGAGAGGGGTCAACACTCTGCCCCCCTGCCAGAACAGGAAGAGCCAATCAGCATCACCCTGCAATTACTGTAAAAACGTCTCATGTCAGAAGCTAACTGGATAAATGAGATGGGAAGCTTTAGTACGTGGCTTCTAGTAAAAGCAGTGCAAGACAGACTGGAGTGGGTTTTGTTTTGTTTGCGTGGTGAGCTGGTAACCTGCCTGCCAGGCCTGCAGCCCTGTAGGCAGAAGCGGGAAAGAATCCCACTGCTTTTCCTAGAAGCCCCCTGACACTGTTGTTTTCCTGGAGCGACACAGGAAACCTGAACCTTGTGCCACAGCTGTGAGTGGTTTGCCTCTGCATTTCCTTTCTCTCCTGGCCTCCTCCTCACCCCTTAGTTTCCCCTTCTGTCTACTACATAGACTGGCAGGATGTCCACACACACACACACACACACACACACACACACACACACACACACACACACACACACAATGCCATTGTGACTAACCTCCCTCTATCTCCGTCAGCCGATCTAGACAACCGGTCATTTCACGCAGACATGCATAATTGTACAGCTATTTAAGTGTAAGCGTAGATTTGTTGTGCTCTCTTTGTTGTGGTCTTACTCCCCCTGTGAGTATTTGTCATTCTTTTGTTTTTTTGTGTGGAATTTACCAGCAGTTGCAGTTTTGTCCCCTCCACAGGCCTTGTAGAGGGCATTGGGTTGACTTAAAATATTTGTGTATAATTGTAGAGTGTCTTGGGTTGACTGTAACGTTTATGTATAATTGCAGAGTGTCTGTCTTGTCTCTGTGTATATGACTACATATGTATTTTAAAATGTATGTACTTGTGTGAATGTAGTCAGCATGCATTTTACTGTCTGTTTGTGTGTTTTACTCTGTGGCTGCTGACCTCCGGCCAGCTTTGTAACGGTTTGACCATTGCCTGTTTTGGTCCCTGTTTAGTCTAGACAGACATCCTGAGCTGATCTGCATGACACCCAGACAACAGAGAGCAGATAGTGGCATTTCTCATGTCTGCAGGCAACTTGGACTTTTTTTTTTTGGTCTGTTCTTTTTTTTTTTTTCTTTCCGCCTGATCTCTCTCTTTCTCCCTCACTCTCAAATTCCGCAGACTTTAAGAAGTTCAGACAAAGAGTTTCCAGACTTTGGCAGAAGTTCATGTCCATGCTAAGACTGAGTGGAATAGTGCAGGCTTTGTACTGAAATTTGTCAAATGTTTGACCTCTGCATTTGAACTGAAGCCTGCTCTGTACCGATGCTCAGTGAGATTTTTACAGCCCGTGGCTGTTCCACAGACCAGACCATCTGTTCCAGGGCACAGCCAAGCTGTGGTCTACAGACAGAAGAATGAGAGACGGATAATGAGGGAGAGAGGAATTGACTCTGAGTGATGTAAATGATACAGCGCAATGGGATTTGGAGGAAAAATGCATCCCAACACATGCTAGTTTACATGCATCTCTTTGACACTGATGAATCTCCTCTTTTCTCTCTCTCTCTTTTCTACTCTGTGTTTCATCTTTATTCTCATTTCCTGTTTATCTCGTGGTGTTCTCGTTCACTTTGTACCGGCCTTTTGCTTATGTGCTCTCTCCACTTCTCCACAGACCAGAGACTAGACTTGAACAAGCTGAGTCCCAATGACAGTGACACAGTCAGGGGCCAGATAGTGGGTGAGTACAGTCGGACACGTAAACAAGGATGCATGTAGTTGCACATAAAGATTTGGAAAAGCTGTCACTTTAATTAGAAAGTAAACCAAAGTTGCACAAAAATCGTAATACCTAAAATCGTCTTTCTGGGATGTTTTCAACTGACTATTCTTCACCATGAGGGCAGATGTGGCACCTTGTCTTTCCTTCACTGTGTATTGAATATTCTAGGAGGGTATACTAACCACTAATGGGCAGCATTTAAAGCAAATGGCGCAAAGGTTAAATAATTAAAAGTAATTTCAGTATTTTCCTAAAAACAATATTCTTTTATAAGTTCTTGTAGTAATCATGGAGCTTGTAAGGACCTTCTGTGTTCAGTTTTGTTCTTTCATGTTGACGCATGGTATATGCTTGAGGATATTCTATAAGGATATAAATATGAAACATGTTCAGCTCTCGTCAGCCTGATGTTACCCATTCTCGTAGCTCAAAAAACTGTCACATTTATCACAGTCTTCATATAAAATGTAAGATTAGATTTCATAATACCAGACCCTCCTTGCAGAAGGAAAAAATAAACTTCCTTTAACCAGACCCTCCAGGATACCACTGATAAAATTTAACCCTATTCCTGTTACTCATAAAGATATATAGCTCCATTTTGTGCTTCGATAAAATATCTGTGCCTGTACTGTAATCTGCTGTCTAGTAATCCTAGCATGTGCATCTGTCTGCCATGTGTTGCTGCAGTGAGCCTGCAGTCTAGGGACCGGATAGGCACAGGAGGCCCTGTGGTGGACTGCAGTCGGCTGTTTGACAATGATCTTCCAGATGGGTGAGTGAGTTTGGGGAAATCTCTTATCATCTCAGAGGGAGCTTTTTGGAGAGGTTGCTGCAAATCCGAAACAGTAACTGCTGCCTTCAAGTACCTGGGTGCAGATACACGGAATATGATATTTGCATGTGGTGAGACAGAGCAGCGAGACAGAACACTACTAGATGGTTAACCATGTCCGCTCACTGCTGTTTCTGTGTATGTTTCTGCTGCCAGCTGGGAGGAGAGGAGGACAGCGTCTGGACGAATCCAGTACTTGAACCACATCACACGCACCACACAGTGGGAGAGGCCTACCAGGTGAGTACACTCTGTAGCCCACAGAAACTCAAACCCAGACCTCTTAAATCAAACAGCAGCAGGCCAATGGAAGACCTCATCTCTGCCCTCAGTGCTCCCAAACTAGGGAAAGTCTGTCCAAAACTGGAGTGGGCTCCTAAGAAAGAAAGAAAAAAAAAAAAAAAAGGTGTCAGACAGGCTGCTCCAGACAGTGGTGTTTAATGATGTGGAAGAGCCAGGGAAGTCACGGAGCTGACAGGAGCGGAAATAGAGGCATCTCTTCCCTGCGCTGTCTTTGTCTGTTGTACTTTCTTTTCACTGTCTTTATCAGTCAGTTCTTAACAAGCTTGACCTCAGGCAGTCTCCGTACTCCTGTGTTTGATGGTCTGTTTGTGTGCCTTGTGTAGATTTCCTAGTTAGCACCTGAAGACTTCCTAAATGCTTCCTATTGATTTACCATTACCTTACCTTACACCCCCCCCAGGCCTGCATCAGAGTACTCCAGCCCCGGCCGGCCTCTCAGCTGCATTGTGGATGAAAACACGCCCATCAGCACAAACGGGGCCACGCCCACCACAGCATTGCCGCCCAGTGGCGGTGACCAGAGGGCGCAAGAGAGACGGGTCCGCTCCCAGAGGCACCGCAACTATATGAGTAGAACCCACCTGCACACGCCCCCCGACCTTCCTGAGGGATATGGTTAGTGGGAAACCAGCAACACAGAGTGGACTAGAATGGATAGTATATACTGTGTATATGAGCGAACATTTATCATCAGGCCTTATTGTTCAGCCCTCATTGAAATCATTACAAAGGTTTGTGTAGTGTATGTACTTGCTTGTATAATGACATAAATTGCCAGTTACAAGCAAGCCACAACACTTACTGGAACTGCTGCTGGAAATGGATTCAGAGGGTATTTTAAATTGAAATTAGCCCGAGTAACCCAACATCCTCTGAAACAAAACACTATACCAGTGATTCTCAAACAGCAGTACTTCTGCAGTTGCTGGTGGTATTTTTAAATGTGGAGTAGCTTAACTAGTTTGACGAAAGTAGAAATTGTGATTTGATTTAACCAAAATGTATATCTAAACACTGAGTCTGCTGTAACATGCAGTTGAGAGTGCATTAAAACTACATAGTAAGTGAACAGAGAAGTGTCTCTGAGAACAGTTGGCTGAAAGTATAGTTAGCTAAGTAAGTAATGAATAAACAGTTCAAATAGTTAACAGTATAGGCCACTTGCCATTTTAGCTGAAAGCAGTGGTTCAATATTTGAAATGTATAGCTAAAAGCTTAAACAAACCAACCAAAACACTGACAGTTTAATTGTATGAATTCAATTCAAATGAACACTTTTGGAGAATGACTGACTGGTGGTGATGAAAGGGTGGTTGAGTTCATCTGACAAAACGCTAAAATCCACAGCAGTATACTATCAATACTGTTATGTCCAGCTTTCCTATCTTGAGACAGATGAATATTTAATATCCTGATTATAGTAGAGCATGCTGGGGTTTTTTTATCCTCTATGAAAGCCATCTCTACTTCCACTATGAATCGTTTCATCATTTTAATGCTGTTGTGTTAATTGCTTCGCCTCTGCCCTCCTCCCAGCTCTACAGTGGGCTCAGTAACCCAGCTAATCTGTAGCCTCATTCAGTCCAGCGCCACTCTGATGACGCTGCAGCTCCACACAAGGAGCCTGAAATACTGGCTCCATTTTAGACAATCTAATTGAATTGATCTAGCTGTTAAAGGCTGGCGGCAGCCATTCACTCCCCCCTCTGTTCTCCTTTCTCCACACAGTGAAACAATCAGACGCATTCATGTAAAAGCAAACACACACACACTCACACAAGCTGTGATCCCCCACACAGCCCAAGGGAGTTTTGTTTATCCTCACAGTAAAATCTTCTGTAGGATTTGGGAGCCAGAGCCATAGAAGCATATCACAACTTTGCTCTCAGTCCTTGAGATTAGGAGGCTCCAAGCCTCACTACACTTGTCTCTCTGTCTCTGTCCTTACTTTCTTAATTCTTTGGGCAGTTCCTGTAAAGCCTGTCAGCACCTCTGAATCTCCTCATGTGAGTGCACACTAGCCCGGAGATGTCACCCTGGGAGCTGAATGTATATCGTGCACTCATCGGGTGGGTGCGGGTTTGGAAGGTTATGTGTACATGCATGTTAAAGCAGGGCGGTAGATCCAAAGGGATGCCAGAGAAGAGCTCTCTGGCAGGCCCGCTCCATGGAAATATCTCTGTCAGCCTGTGATGAATGAGCTCACCAACTCGAAAGTCAGACAACCCCATCTCTCCTCTCCTTTCCCCTCCAATGTTCTTCACCCTGTCTGTCGCCTCCCTTCCTCCCTCCTCTGGCTCTCTCTGGCTGCCTTTTGGGATCTCCACTGACTCAGGCAGTCCTTTTATCTCCATCTGTGTGATCTCTCTCTTACGCAGACAGATTATAAGCACGATCTGTCTGCATGTAGCACGCAAATTAAACTACCGTTATTTCATTTTCCATATATTTTTAAACGTGTGACGAGGATGAGGCTAAATCTTGTCCTCTTTTCATTGGATTCACACCATTGTCTAATCAAGCAGCTCCAGGTCTTGCATCAATTAATCCCATTTTTATGTCCTCCTACAGAGCAGAGGACCACGCAGCAAGGCCAAGTGTACTTTCTCCACACTCAGACAGGTGTCAGCACGTGGCATGACCCCAGAGTACCAAGGTACGTCCGCCACAGCATCACTTTGTATTGTTCTGCTCTTTTTACTATCCACTATATAATACTCTAAAACAATGAAAATACAAGAATGATAAAATACATAAATGATAAATTGGGCTGTCCACAGAAGCTTCAATCACTCATCCTTCTTTGGTATACTTTTTGGCCCTCTTGACTACCAGCTGTCACTGACATAACTGACATTACCCATAGCTTGTGTCACTGCAGGCCCTTAGTCCTGGTTCCCTTGTAGTTTCCCCCGGAACCTGCAGCTAATTACGAGTCTGACATGCTGTGAGAAGACCCATGTCACGGGGCTCTGAGAGCATTTTTGGTCCTCTGGCACGAGCGCTGAAAGGCCTTAACCTGCGACACATGGCCAACAGCACACAGGTCTCAATCGGCCATACCAGAGGCTCTTGGGCAATTATCCATCAGGCATGTGTGTCCTATTGATTACCATAATCCAAAAGAAATACACACACACACACAGATGTGCATGTGCAAAGACAGGGTTCAGTGCAGTCCAGACGATATCAATAAAACATGACTGATACCTGGTCTCTGCTCACTTGCATTCTATCAGTATGTGAGTGATAGATGATACTTTTATTGCTTTTGATGGGAGGCTATTGGTCACACCACACCTCGCTGGGTCCTCCTCAGACAGCTCCAACATTAGCAGCTGGCTTAGCTGCCAAGCTCTCATCGCTCGTGAGGCTCTGGTCCCCTTTGGCTTTAATCCTGCAAAACAAAAAAGTCAGCGCCAGCATAGCGAGCCTGCCGTAATTTCTGAACCTTTTTGTATCCATGGAGTCCAGCTGAAAGGGGTTGCAGGGCAGCAGTAAATAATTTAGATGGGAGGAAGAAGAAAAATAGAATAAAAGTGATTTCTCAGACATCTCGGAATCTTGCTGTCCGCCCGAGTCCAGTTAGTCAGTGCTTTGGTATGTTTTATACCTAGGTGTGTGTGTGTGTGTGTGTGTGTGTGTGTGTCTGTGTGTCTGTGTGTGTGTGTGTGTGTGTGTGTGTGTGTGTGTGTGTGTCTGTGTGTTGTCTCTTTTTTCCTCTGTCCCACCCTGCATTGCCTCTTATTTTTCTGAAATTCTTGTGTACTTGTGCTTCATTGCGTGCTCTTCTGTTTTATTTCAGAGATCTGAGTAATGTGAATTGTGAGGAACTCGGTCCTTTACCTCCTGGATGGGAGATACGGAACACGGCCACCGGGAGGGTTTACTTTGTCGACCACAACAACCGAACCACGCAGTTCACAGACCCGCGCCTCTCCGCCAACCTGCATCTAGTGCTAAAGTGAGTACTACAGTACAGGAGCCTTGAGCCAGAAAACATTAAAGTGAAGTAAATTAGACAGCACATGAAAAGACAGGGTATAAAAGCAGAGAGATTTATTTTCTGTCTTCCTTTTGTTTTTGTTTTGCGTCTCTAGTCCAAGCCCCAATGGTTCTCGAGGAGGCATCGAGAGTCAGAATGTCAGGTAAGGTTTGGGCTTTGTGCCAGTAGTCTTCACTGCACACAGACAAGAACACACACAAGCACACACTCCCCCAGACATTCACAGACTTACTCACTTTGCCTCCCCCTCAGTCAGTGTTTTACTGTGGGATCCTGTGCCAAGGTGTGTTCACCACCTGTAGAGGTTCAGAGTGGCCCTTCTGCTGAGCAGACGTTTGCGCGCGCACACACACAGAAATACATACCCATTGCACTCCCCCACAGTTTTCTTTCCACACAAAAATTCAAATTCCTCAGGCCCGCAGAGGTTTTGATCATAAAGGCGTTTTAGCACACAATCCGTCACAAAGCTGGCTTTGGCCTGACATCAGATAGCTGAGTGGAAACCAAGGCTGCTGTGTCTGTGGCTGAGGAGCGTCTTATGTCCAGGAAACGAGCATAAATCTGATGCCCAAGTCAATGAATGAACTATGCGTGTGTGTGTCCATCTGGGTAGGTTCATATGTGTTGGGTCATGCTTCTGTGCTTGGTACATGCCTGCATGCATGGATGCATGTGTGTCAGAATCCTTTTCCCCTTTGCAGCTGTTCAAACACATACTGCGCAGCGATAGCCATAGAATTACCCATAGGTCCTTGCTCCACAAAGGTGGAGCGGCGAGTCGGTGCCTTGGTGGGCCTCCTCCGCCTGATCTCATTCCTCCTCCGTGCAGAGAGAGACGGAATGCATCGACGGAGAGATCAGGTTTCTTTTTTTCCTGTTCTGATGGATCAAAGAACGTGTTCGGGATTTTGTATTCACTTTGCTTTTTTTTCATCTACGGCCGTCTGAAAAGTCTTATAAAAATTTAGCCTGGCACGCCACATTTGGTTTTAATGTAGGAGTTTTGTCATGAGCATGACTATGCCCAGATGTGTGAAAAGTGTGTGTGTGTGTGTGTGTGTGTGTGTGTGTGTGTGTGTGTGTGTGTGTGTGTGTGTGTGTGTGTGTGTGTGTGTGTGTGTGTGTGTGTGTGTGTGTGTGTGTGTGTGTGTGTGTGTGTGTGTGTGTGTGTGTGTGTCAAAGCCAGGAAGTGGGCTTGTGCTTTTTTTTTTATGTAATATCAGAGGAATCATTTTATACACAGAAGTGTATGAAAGTGTTTGAGATATATACCTTGGCCGGAGATTTGTCAAATACCTTCTTTATAAATGACTGAATGAGTAAGGTTTAACCTGAGTGTACCTAAATCCATTCTAATTACATTAACCCTGTAATAGATGATCTATTGCCTTTCCCGTACAGTTTCTGTCCTTACTGAAACTGCTCTATTACAGCAGACAGAATGGATTTTGGAGTGACTTTCTCGCTTGTGACAAGGCTCTGGAAAAGATATCAGTCGTCATGGATTTCCATCAAGACATCTGCCTTTTATCAAGTCAGGGATTTTAGAAATTTTCACCCCTTATGTCCCGTCATCCCACAAAAATGTTCTATATATATACACACACACACACACACACACACACACACACACACACACACACACACAAATGTCAGTCAGAGTTATAGTATATTGCCTTTTTTATTCGTAAAGACTGAGCATCCAGACCACGGTTTTGTTTATTTTTCCACTATAATGTTGCTATCTCCTGCCGAATTCAAGCCCCCCTGACTGGTCGGGGTCACTGTTCAAAAGGTAACTGAATCCTTGTCTGGTTTTAAGAACTGACTGCAAGTCTGTCCTTTGTACAGTTGCATGAGAAATAACTGTCATTTCACAGACACTTTTGATTTGCCGTGTAGCTAAAACATTGCTTTTTATTGCGGTGCCTTGTCTCTGCAGTGAGCATCTTCAGGTAACATGCACCAGAGTCGCGCTCATCAGTAAGGAGTTGGAAAGGGAAGAGAGATCTCTGGGGCATGTTTGCCTGCAACCATGAGAGAAAGAGCAACAGAGACAGAGCAGGAATGTTTGATTTATGGGTCAAAGTGCAGGAAGAGATGCTCCATGTCTCCTCTCTCCCACCCTCTGAGTTGTCTACAGTGTTTGGATGATGTCGGGAGAGTGCCCTCCTCCCGTCTGAGTCTAGTCTGCAGGAAATAAAGGGATTCATGAGGAGGTCTCGAGTGTCCTATGAGGCCCTGTGGCTTTCCGGGATAGCAGGAAGTGATTGAAAAGCCAAACTGGATTCTACTGGGCAGACACCAGAAACCAAACACAGTCATTCAGTCAGAGAGAAGTTGTCATTGTGGTGGAGGAGAATGTAAGCCATAGGGCGGATACGTGAGAGTACCACTTTTGAGCTAAATTAACTTCTGACAACTGTATTCTCATGTCAGAAAAAGAACTGACTGACAGTTAAGTATTTGTCAGCTCCATTGAAAACACAATGTGTGGTTTGATCAAATTACCAGATAAAAGCTTGTGTGAAAATGTTTATTTTAACCTTGGCATCACTTTGAGGGTAATAGGCTACATATCCTTACTGCACGCACACAGACCGACATGTGTATGCTTCCACCACCCTCTGTGCTCGGCTCTAGAGTCTGGTGTTTATGACCCTGCTCAGGGCCGAGCATGCCTGCTACCCCCCACTGGAGTGCAAAAGGCCATTGTGCAAATAATCCTTTAGTGCCGGCCCCATAAAGGCTCTTTTGATTCTGTGTGTGTGTGTGTGTTGTGTGCCTCCCCACTGTGCCACCCTCAGAGGCTGTCTTCCCAAACACAGCGCCTGGTTCAAAAGTTGTATTCCCGAGACCTCTGTCATCATTAACCACAGATGATGTTCACAGCCACACTATTGATGCTGTGGTTAACCGCTTTTTTGTCGCTGTGTTTGAAACGCTTATTCAAATGCTGCTTTCTTTAAAATCTTTTAGTTTTTTTGTTTTTTTAGCATGCTTTGGCTTTTTCAGTACCCAGTAGAGTGAGAAGAAAGAAATGAGTGAAATGATTTTAAAATGCAGTTAAGTTCAACTGAGAATGCTTGTACATTGAAACTAGACTGCTCCTCAAAGGCAGAGAGCAGTAACAGGAGTAGTGAAACCATGAAAGAATGGTTTAAAGTTTTTAGGCTAGCCATAATACATGCAGATGCAGCACTCATGCATCTTTCTTGTCCATTTGCACTATTTGTTTTCTTGTAAAGAAAATGAACTGTTATCATTTACAGTCCATAGTTCTTATGAGTGAAACGTATCTCTGTTTTGCTAGTGTCTGTCCACTATTTAGATTTACAGTGGAAACTTAACAATAAATTAATTTACAATTTAATATATTATGGTCGCTATCATTTATTTTATAATCACAATAACGATATATTACATTTAAATGTTGGTTATAGTCATAAACCCACAGACAATTATTATTCAAATCTCAGAGCAACCCTCAGCTTTGTGGTTCTTTGTATCAACTTTCAGCTCATTGTTTTGGTTTTCCGGCTACAACTTTATTGATTTGGTTCACTATTCTGAAGAAATCTGTAAATTTAGTGTCAGCGTTTGCAAATGTAGCTCTGTTTACATGTTTTTTTCACTTAAATTATATAGTTCCATAGTAATTTTGCCTAAATATGTAGTTAAGTACTATGCCAGTACATGGTAGTTTCTATCACAGTGTCTGCACTATTAAGACCAACTATTAAGACCAACTTTTGTACTTGTAAAATGTGCCAGAAAGCCTCTGCAAGGTGCCCTTGATGACCCTACATTACCGCAAGTGTACATGATGAGTCAAAAGAAACAGAGTATCTATTTGCAGAACTTTCTTTCCCTCAGTCATATTCTGCTGCTCCCCCGTAGAAAGCCTTATTTTAGTTCAGCCATCACTCTGTGTGAGACCACCGGGCCTCTGCCAGGTGGAGAGGTGGAGAGATGGAGAGAGAGAGAGAGAGAGAGAAAGAGAGATCTTACCTCCACTAATCCCTCCTCCACCTCTGTCTGTCTGTCTGTCTGTCTGTCTGTCTGTCTGTCTGTGAGGGGCTGAGGCAGCTGTTTGACTTGATGTGCTTCCCAGATGACCTCAGTGTGTTTACTCCTCGTACTCTGCAGTCAGCAAAGGACACAGAGAGAACTCTCACTCTCAGAAAGCTGTATTTTGATTTTCTTGGCTTCCTCTTGTTGTTTTTGTCCAAGTGCTTGCTTACTTTTTCTCACTAGTAAGCTTGTTTGTGTTTAGTATTGGTACATCTGAGACTTTCATCTTGTCCCTCTGTGTCTTACTGTCTCTTTCTCTTGGCCCGTTTCTCCCTCTCCTCTCTCTCTCACCTCTTTCCTGTGCCACTCTTTTCTGTCTCTCTCCCTCTCTCTGCCCTCCAGTCGTCAGAACCAGTTGAAGGATCAGGCCCAGCAGGCTCTGGTGTCCCCTGGTCAGCTCCCAGAGGAGGCAGAGTGCCTCACAGTGCCCAAGTACAAGAGAGACCTTGTTCAGAAGCTCAAGATCCTCCGCCAGGAACTGTCCCAGCAGCAGCCTCAGGCTGGCCATTGCCGCATCGAGGTGTCCCGTGAGGAGATCTTTGAGGTGAGGATGGAAAGAAACAAGCTCTGTCATGTCATATCATCTGAAGCTCACAAGGGGTGTCTGTTATTAAAGATATGGGTACATAATTGAACCCAGAGGGAAATTCAGTTGTCACAGCCAGAGCATGCATGAAACAAATTAAAATGCATAACAAAATGGTAAAAAAAATGGAAATAATGTAATATTTGCTCCATTGCACAACCACCTACCCAGTTTTTCCCCAAGACTCCAGCCAGCAAGCACTGTAAGCAATAAACAAGAGCAATCCTGTGTTGTTCCCCAATTTACAAGCAAACAGCCCTATATTTCATCCTTTTGTGCTTGCAGAGCTGCTTGTAATTGTACATGTTATTTATAGACACACGCAAGTTATGTTAAACATTCTCTGAACCCCCGCATGTCTTCCTCCTCCCATAAAGGTCATTGTCTGTAGCTGTTGGCTGTGAGAATGATTTCTTCTTATCTATGATGTGTGAAGGTAGTCTGTTGAAAATCTAAAGCAGACTTCTTGTTTGAGATGAGGATTTTCCCAAGTACATTTTCCTCAGCTGGAGAGTTTCTTTTTCTGCATCTAGGAGGTGTGGGTCCTTCATCAGAGCAACAACACCTGCAACAGACTGCATGACCCTCATAAAATATGCAATGGAATGTGCTGGAACAGCCATGTCTGTTAATCTGAACGAAGACATTTTTGTTGGCTGATCTCAATGTGAGAGAGAGAGCGAGAGGGAGGGCTGGGGGGGGGGGCAGAAGACTTCTTGAGGTTGAGACATAACTGCATAGCTTCTCCAGACCAGCTGAAACATTACATTATGACTGAATGTGCAAGTGTTAGCTGCTGGGCTGTCGGACCTGTCTTTTATGTGTACATTTCAGTGTAGATAAGACATTCCCATTTCTCCTACAGCACCTCTCTGTTGTCTGCTGTGTCTGGAGGACACAGTGGAACCTGGCTGTGTTATTATAGTCTTATGGCTGTGTTTATTATAACTGCCCCTAATCCACTTTAAATGAGCCCTCCCCCTGACGCTGTGAGCCGTCTGCACGTTGGTTGAACACTGATCGAGGCAGAGAGAGAACCAGTTGGAAATGACTGCTGTAACGCCACACTGCATCAGTCTCATTTCTTACAAAACTGCTACCGTAGAGCAAATATTTATTCAGAGCACTTCCCAGTACTTGTTTTTCTAACTCCTAACTTTAGTCCTTCTAGTATCAACCTTTGGTTTAGGAGTTGCCATGTTTAACATGTGCCATTAATGCAAGGCATGGAGCTTGGAGAGGGCATGAATCCCTAAAACTGGTCACATGTCATTTTTCCTCCGAGGCAGCGCCCCTCAAACTGATATTGCAAACTCATAAATAGCTTTTCTTTAATTATTTTTCCACTGGGGACTACATAGAACCAGATGGCTCTGCATCAGCAAAGCTACCGGAGCAAATACAGCGAACAACTGTCTGACTGACGCTGTTACCGTGTTTGACGAGGCGTGTGTGTTTGTTTGCATCCATGTTGCAGGAATCGTATCGCCAAGTGATGAAGATGAGGCCGAAGGATCTATGGAAAAGGCTAATGGTGAAGTTCAGAGGAGAAGAGGGGCTCGATTATGGAGGAGTGGCCAGGTAAGAGGCTGTAGCAAAAGAAGAGCATGGTACATGAAACACACAGACTTTGGTTCTGTAAATACTTTTTACACTGCAGTCTGCCTCCTAGTGGAGGAGCAATGTTTTTTCTGCTTTGGTGTAGTAATTTCTTCATCGATTTAGCATGTTCTGAACTGGGATGTTACGGGTATCTGTGTCTTTTTTCTCCTGTCTGACCTCTGTGCGTCTGTGTGGCGGACAGGGAGTGGCTCTATCTGCTGTCCCATGAGATGCTGAACCCTTACTACGGCCTGTTCCAGTACTCCCGTGATGACATTTACACACTGCAGATAAACCCAGACTCTGCTGTCAACCCTGTGAGTCACATTTGTTACTCACAACACAAAATGCAACACAACCATAGGTTCTGGATCAGCAGACCATCTGCAAGTCTCGAAATGTCTTAAAAAGCATTTAATTCAATTTTGTCTTCAATTGTCGTATATTTCTACTACAGAGGTGTTGACGATAACATTAGTTATAAGGCTGTTTCAGTCTGCGCCATTAGACCTGTAGTAAACACAGTCAGTACTGTAAGCTACAGTAGCTAGGAAGATCATTGTCTCCTGATGGGCAAGTGTCAGTTTTAGCAAAAACTTCCATCCATTAACCACCAGTGTCCAGGTCACGATAATTGATTAATTGTATTCCAGGAATTATTGTTCTATACAGCTGGGAAGTACTGACAAAAATGGGATACAAATGTCAGTAAATCCATGTATTTAATGAATAATTGTAGACCTTATCATTCCTACTGGATTATTGGAGTGGTCATGAAAAAGGTATTAAAATGCATTATATTTGTTAAAGTATTAATTGCTACTTGCTCTGCTTGAAGTGTGTGCGTTGTCTGAGAATGGAAGGCGACTCATGTAAAACCCAGATAATATTTTGATCATACTGTTTGAGAATCCTTTGTTAAACATAGACACATTCTCAGACAAGTGTGTCCTCACACACTCACAGACAAACAGGCACACTGCCTCGCTGCATCATGGTCTTGTCTGTCTCCTCGTATTCCCTTGTCCTTGTCGTTTCACCAGTGGGGAGGGGGGTTTAAAAAGGAAACGAGGAAAACAAAAGACAGATTGAAGAGAGTTTCACTTTCAGTCGCCATTGTTTAAAGTGCACAAAGAAACTCAACACTGTGGCATAGAAACCCCAGTGCCAGAGCAACGCAGACACACTAGCGCACAAGTATAAGTGTGGTGGTGTGGGTCACTTGTGTAGGTTCGACGTAGAGTCTACATACAATTATAAATCAGCCTTTACTTTGCAGTCAATGAACGTGATCTCATGGGTAGATTTTTACAGGAATGAAGCATTGCTTTAACTGCTGTGTTCATACTGTGCTGTTCAAGTGTGTCCAGTTCTGCTGGTAACTCACTTCTGCCTCTTCATTTGGAAACTCAAGATGTTTTGTCTCCCCCCAGGAGCACTTGTCATACTTTCACTTTGTGGGCCGTATCATGGGGATGGCGGTGTTCCATGGCCACTACATAGACGGAGGTTTCACTCTACCGTTCTACAAACAGCTGCTGGGAAAACCCATCACCCTGGACGACATGGAGTCTGTTGACCCTGACCTGCACAACAGCCTTGTGTGGATCCTGTATGTACAAAGACTTTTTTATACAAGTCTGTATGGACTTTTCTGTGTAAATGAAAAGTGAAAGAGGATGCCTGAATATGAATCACAACACATTCACATAACGTTCTGCATTCCTGTCTGTCTGTGCTATCATTATACAAGTTAAACAAAGTAGCAGGGTTGTTTGGCCTCCATGAAAACTCCTCTCCCTTACTTTGATGACAGCGCCCCCCAGGGTTTTTGAATTTTTCTTACATCAGTTGTCACCAATCACGTGCCTTCCAACCACGTGTATGCATTTTTTTCACTTCAGCTTAACATCACATCTGCTGGTTTCACGGATCAGCACACATTCAAATGTTTTACTGGAAAAAGCATTTTGTTAGCGATAGTGACTGTGTAAAAGCCCTCAAACAGTCATTCAGATGTTCATGTCTCCTCAGGGACAACGACATTACAGGTGTGCTGGACCACACCTTCTGTGTAGAACACAATGCCTATGGAGAGATCATCCAGCACGAGCTTAAGCCAAACGGCAAGAGCATCCCCGTCACCCAGGACACCAAGAAAGAGTACGTCCGGCTCTACGTCAACTGGCGTTTTCTGCGAGGCATAGAGGCCCAGTTCCTGGCTCTGCAGAAGGGCTTCAACGAGGTCATCCCCCAGCACCTGTTAAAGGCTTTCGATGAGAAGGAGCTAGAGGTACTTTGTTGTTGGCACAAATCTAGATGTCATATTGCTCGATTTACCTCCAAGATCACTTAAACATACCCAATCTGTATCTTTCCTCAACCTTCAGTTGATTGTATGTGGCCTGGGCAAAATCGACATAAACGACTGGAAGTCCAACACACGGCTCAAACACTGCACCCCAGACAGCAACATTGTGAAGTGGTTCTGGAAAGCCGTGGAGTCCTTCGACGAGGAGCGCAGAGCCCGGCTGCTGCAGTTCGTCACGGGCTCCTCCAGAGTTCCCCTACAAGGCTTCAAGGCCCTCCAAGGTAGTAACACCCAGGGTGAAAACTGTGCATACGTTTTGTTATGTAAATGCTTTAACATTAGAATGGTTATGCAAGAAAGTCCTACGTATGAAAGCACTCATCAAATAGCTTGGTGTGACTTGCCTTCTTTGTGAGATGGACTAGAGTGAGCACTAGGGACAAAACGCTGAATATGAATGTCGTTCCAAGTCCATAATGCACAAAAGGAGTGGCAGTGTAGTCTTTACTGTTCCTTTGTTGCACGTACAGTGTGCTCTACAACACAACAACACAATCCAGGGAGTGTGTGGCAGCCACCAAGGGATGTCCCGTTGCCCGGGGGACAATTAAAATAGCACCTGGGACACAAAGATGCAGTATATAGGACAATTCTAGGAAAGTAAAGACTTTTAATATTACAAATGAAATTATTTATACGTGTGTGTCCGGGAATATATATAATTTTAATTATTGGGTGTGAGCAAAAAATGTGAGGCAGCAATGGCATGCATTTAGCAACTTTCCAGACACGCTTAGCAACTTTATTTCTAAAAAGCTCATGTTTGACCTTTCACTCCGGATCTCTGGATTAGAGTGTTCCTATAGTTTATATTTAAGTAGTTTGTTTGAGCTTGTAAATATTTAAATAGTTTGTTTGATCTGTTCCCTCCTTTTTGTAGATTTTTTTTTTTACTTCCAATATATTATGTCCTCATTATGAGTTTGTGATTATTTGGATAAATAATAAAGTGTTTGTATGTACCTTTCCATCGGCGTATACCAATCAGAAACAGGTTTGCATTTGCATTGCAGTTTGCAGTGATGCATTTATTGATCAATTAGCAATAAACAAGAAACTCAACCAATGACTAACAGTGCAACTTGAATGAGTCAATGAAGGGATGCGAGTTACTAATACAAATTCATTGAACTATATTCATTATGTACAATGTGAGGACTGTGAGTAGAATTCGGGACACTATGGGAAAAAGTTAATTTCGAGCCCTGGTGTATTTGTGCGTGTTTGGGATTCTTTGCTCCTCTGTGTGTCTGTCTCTGGGTTTCTCCAACCTCAGACGAACCCTGAGTCTGAGAGTAGTGCACTGGTTCAGTGGGTCTATCCTGGCAGACGGCGCTGCCCAGAGACAGAGCACCCAGGCATGTGGAGTACACCGTGATCCACAGGCAGACAGCAGCCTCACACGCCTTATATAACATGGCCATCCTTTCTTGGTCAAAACATCAGCAGAGGCCAGAACACCCAAAAACTACACACACACACACACACACACACAACAGAGTTGAGCTTACTGTGTCTGTGGTGTCGCTTTGATTCTAAAAGTCAGACACACAACTGCAGTCAATTTATTTAGTCCTGTTGGTATCTAAATTATAAAATATTGTTGCAGCATTCTCAGAACCATGTGAGTATTTGTTGAAATAAAGGGTAAAAGCTCAAAACAGCACTCTGCAGCATACTGAGTAATTTAAATACTCTAACAGGACTCCCTAATGTTTGTTTCTTTATTGTTTGCACTATCAAGTCTAAAGAATGTAGACACAAGGACAAATTAAACAACTCACGTCTAGACACCGTAGAGGCCATAATAATGATCATTTTATAAGCTACTGAAAATCTAAGTGTGAAATTTAAATTTAGATACCGTTACAGCACTGAAATACTTTACTTTGAAAACTATCCGTCTGCATTTATGTCATTTAAAGTCCCCTCTTTGTCATTTCAAAATTGAAATGTTTGGGGGTTCTTTGTTTCTTGGCGGTCCTGATGGTACAAGACAGAGGTCTGACTGATACCTTTCAGGCTTGATTGATTATCTCTGCTCACTCGTGTGTTCAAGTTGGAATTTGTTTAGCTGGAGCATCTTGATTTTTTTTTTTTTTCTGTTGACTGTTTTTGATACAAAAAATAAAAGCTTAATCTGAGCAACTTTAAATTTTTACCTGGGGAGAAAAATCTAAACTTTAAAAGAGAGTATGCAGACAATTGATCACAGTGCAGAGCAGGTGCGTGAAGGTCTATTTTTACAACAGTAATTGTGTTCACACAGGTGCTGCCGGCCCACGGCTCTTTACCATCCACCAGATTGATGCCAGCACCAACAACCTGCCCAAAGCCCACACATGGTGAGGAAACCGTCAGCATTGTAGCATTTTCCAGATTGTTTGACATGGTGTCTGCCTTTGAGACAAAGCCGAAGAGTGGTGTGGAACCTTGACTAAGTTCTTCTCTGTTTTCTAAATATTCTTTTAAAATCTGTTTTCCTCTTCTGTTTTCCCAGTTTCAACCGTATTGACATTCCTCCCTACGAGCACTATGACAAACTGTACGACAAGTTGCTCACTGCCATCGAGGAGACGTGCGGCTTTGCTGTAGAGTGAGTCACTGATGCAGGCAGAGCTCAGCAACAACCAGAAGCAACATGGTTCGGCCATGATGAGCCTCCCCCTACAAATCAGTCCACTCAGACTGGGGGTCATCCATGGTTGCTTCACCCGGGGACGCCCATACTTCCCGGGGAAAATGTGGCCAAGCTAAGGGAGGGTGGGCAGAGAAGACCAGAAAATGTCATCTTAAGCTGGGTTTTTCTTTTTAAGACCCTCCAGCCCTCCATTATGTCTTTTTTTTAATCATCGAAAAGGATCTCTTCAGCTGCTAATAACTCAAGACTATTTACTAACTTGTGGAACCTGCAAAATATGCCGGCTCTTCCCTTTTTTCTAAGTTAATTTTAGCATTTAAAAAATAGACTGTATTCCATGTAGCAATGCTCCATCTTACCAAGCAGAACACAAGGTCAGTCCTCTCTGATACAACATTAACAGTACAGGGTTATTAATGGTTACCACAACCACTTGGAAACACTAAAATTTGGATGCAGAATGTGCACTACTCGGGCTGTTTGGTGCCTCAGAGTGATCACACTGGGGCTATCAGCATTGCCAAGGCTGGAAAAACGGGGACGTGTGCGGATAAGAAGACTAGAGACTGAATTAGCCCGACTGTTTACAACCCTCTCCAAAGACAGCAGCAGGGACCTCTGCTCCTGAGTCGCAACTCGAGCTGCATTCCCAGAAACCTATTTCACACGTTCGACAGCTAGTTTTGTTTGAAAATGAATAAATGAATGAATAGCTTGAAATGTGTTATTTTTCTATAACAGGGAAAATTGAAAAAGAAACAATAAAATTCTATATAATATATATAATTTATTGCTGTTATATTTCAGAAACCCCTTTCCATTGTTCCAGAAAAATAAAATCTTTTAATGTTAAGTGTTTAAATTATAGACGACAATTTGTGAAAACAGAACTAAGCTTAACTGGGTTTCACTTACGAATGCTGTGGTTTATTTCTTGACGGAACCTCTCTCATACTGAACAAGGAGAGGTTTCCCTTAAAGAGCAAAAAATCCTAAATACACAATTTCCTCCGAGTGCCATAATCATTTTGAATGAATGAATCTTTGCAATTATTGAGCAGACCCTTTAAATTCTACTGATTTCATCCTGGAGCTACATATGTTGGTGTGATGTTTCCTTTTCTATTGCCCAGTTGGTCACTTGTAGTTGGCTGTATTACTGTCACTAGCATGAAAACCTACCATTAATTTCTAATGGTATCAGAAGAGTCCAAAGTACATCATAATCTATTGTGTGCTGCCTCCACATTGTTGTTGTTGTTAAAAAAAAAAAAAAGAAAAACCTCTACTACCTTCTAGCCATGTGGTGCTAAATAGCATTAACGTTTGTCTTATATTGGCAACCTTGCTCATCGACATACTACTGCTTAAGGTGCACAACACACTACTCGTGCTCATACCTGTTTGTGGCCACAAAACATGTCCAAGAAACCAAGAGCTCTACCTAGCCACATTCTCAGGAGATGTCATATGTAGTTTGTTAATGTCCTTTTGATTTGACGACTGACGAGAAACTAATTCTGACCGTTTGTCTTGATTTCCTGAATGTTAAGGGGTTAAAAAGTCTCGTCGTTTAAATAGTTTTGCCCACGGGGAGACCGTTAACACACAGTAATCGTTGCATGTGTCCATATGTGCTTTTGGTTGAAAGGGAACTGAATGAGATGAACTCCTGTTTTAGCCTGCTACACAGTCCCATCAGTGGTGTTTTTATTTAGAGAAAGGGGGATTGTTTTCTACGATTGAAAATGAAATTCTTGAATGTTTTCAAAAGATGCTGCCTGTCTAGCAATCTCTATGACCGTGGACTGTTCTTAACGTTTGCATACACACACACAAAAAAAAACATGTTCATTTTCATTCTTTTATGTGGACTAATGTGTATGCAAAGTGAAAAGTGTCCTCAGATGGTGCTTTGTACAGTAATAAGATATTGTTCATATGTGTGGATCAAACAACCTGTAATTTATCTTTAACTTAAGTAGAAAAAGATTTTGTTGAAATGAAAAGAGGAATTGCACACAAACAGAAAAGAGGTTGCCACGTGTACTTAATGGTGACTTCTGTAACAGATATTCATTCGCCTTTAAGTCCAGTGCACAAGCTGATCGCCCTACTGTCTGTTCCTACACTACATCGCTCAGCATCGCCCCGTAGCTGCTGCCTCTCGTTGAACTGAACTTTTTATGAAACAAGTCAAAGTTGAGAGATGCCGCTCTTGTTTTTTTCTTTTTTTTTTGTTCTGTTTTTTAATAGCATGATCCACTAGCAGGACTATATCTCTCATAGCTGACTGATGCAATTTGATGTATGTTAACACTATCATTTTGTAAGAGTATTTTATTTTTGTGTGTAATTAGTTCTAATTAAACTTGCCTTTGTCTAACAATGTAAGGCCTTGTACAAAGACATGTCCTGTCCTTTTTCCTGTTTGAATGGTTGTTTGAAATGTCATAAAGAATCATTGTTAGGCTACTTTCAATAGAGGTGTTCTTAAACAGGCCCCTTGGTACAACAGTTACTTACATTAAATCAATTTATCAGGGGCTTGTTATTACCATTGTGGCTGAGAATAAATATTAAGTGTGGGATGCAAAGACTTTGCATCTGAATGGCACATATCTGCCCTGACCACCCACTGTGTACGCACTGATACCACAGTAGATTAAAATGTCTGGCAGATGGCTCAGAGGGGGTCAGGGAGAAAGGGGGTCAAATGACAATGAATAGAGCGGTTGGGGTGGGGGTGGGGGGGGAGAAAAGGTGTCAAGTACAGTTTTTGTTGCTGTGTCATAGATAGGTAAATGCATCAATCCACAGCGAGGTCTTGAAACCCGTCTTTCTACACACACTGGAAAGAATATAAAAGATTAGACTTCGTCAGGATAATAGATCATATTTTGATGTGTCAGTATCAAGAATAAAAAAGCCAAACATGTAATAAATAATATCTGTTTATTTTTTTTTTCCTTTTTTTTGGCCACTTTTATAGAGATTGATTAAAAAAAATGTGCTTGTATGTTTTATGGTGTAGTACAGTGATGAAAGACATAATACACATAATACTTATAGACATAATACTAAACTTTAAAAATGAATGAGTGAGTAAACCTCACTCTTACTGAAAGTGCAGTCTTGTGGTCTTTTTGGTCCACCTTTGAGCTCACATGAAGCCTTCATGACCTACATGGCTTTTATAAAACTGCTGCCACACTTTGAACCTCTCCATACTAGTTTTTCACCAAAACAAAAACCAAACTGAGAACTGTTTTCTAAACATTTGCTCGTCCACTTATTCCAACAGGAGTTAAGTGAAATTTCATCCCGCAGGTCATATTGGGTCTAACTTGGAAAAAAAAAAAAAAGTCTCTTTCATGTTGGGGTTGGTCCTGATGACGTCACTTACCGGAATACATCGGAAGTGCAGTCAGAGCCGGTTACCAAGTTTCTGTCTCGTACATATCCATCCGCCAACTCCCGTTTATGTAAATACAATGGATTAAAAAGAAGCACCTAAAATAAAGTATTGACTCTTTGAGTGGCGTATTTTAAATGTAATATATAATAAAACACATCATATCTGATTTTTAGGCTCTACATAAATAATGTTCGTATGTGTTTTGTTTTTTTTAAATCCATATTTATATTCTTCTGTCTGCTCTAACTGAGTTGATAAAGTATATTGAGTGTAGAGTTAGGGTACCCAGGTGTTGTGTTTACAGGACGAGTTAGAGTTTCGCTGTTCTATAACGTGTCTATATTTTCTGTTGTAGCTCAAGTTGAAAACCGTGTTGCGGATGAATACATCGGAAGGGAGACTTCCTCTTACTATATAAACCGGGCCTCATTTTCACATTACCGGCATTTCAACACAACTGCCGGTCGGGTTTTTTTTTAGACGGCGGTAAAGCCACAGTGTAGGATATTTATCTTTTTTATTTATACAAATTGTTTACAAGATGCCTGGATATTCCGACAGAGATCGCGGCAGGGACAGAGATAGAGGGTAAGCACCGTCTTTTACACTAGTTTTACCTTCGCGTGATTTGTACAAATGGCTGACAAGATTAAAACCAGAAGGTGGAAAAAAACAATCGATTACCTAAATGGTGTTACTCTTAAAGGAGATCGTCTCAATCAGCTTTACAGTTGTAAGTGTGAACCTAACGACCAGGGAAGCTACAGTTGTCTGGCTTTCTGTACCACACAAGGCCCGGGCCTCTGCACGGAGCCCGTTGTCTTTGGCTCAAGGCCTACTTTGGCCTCGTGCCCCGGCACAGCGGCTCTTCGTTAGCTTCAGGGTAGCTAACCGTTAGCTAACGGGCTGTTACCGGGAGCTTTTATAAGCACACTGGTACTGTATATAGCTAGACTACACTCTTAATACGCACCACTATTACGATAAAGCTCTTTGAACACGACGGTCACTGACATATAATGTTGCTAATACAGCTGGCTAGTCGGCTTTTCGCCATGTGGCAGTGTGAATGCGGATACAAAATGCCGGCTGTTTTCCATTGTTCCTCTGGTGGCTGGAAAGTATATGGCAGCTATATAATTTCACAGAATGACGCAGTTAAGATGAGTTTGTCTCTACTCGCTGTAAACAGCTGTAGTCGCGGCCGTACATGACTTGACTGACCCAGTCAGACTCAGCGACTAACACTAATTTAATTGCAGCTATGGCGGTGGTCCTCCTCGCTTTGGTGGAAACCGCGGTGGTGGAGGTGGAGGAGGAAAGTTCGGCAATCCCGGTGAGCGGCTGCGGAAGAAACAATGGAACCTGGACGAGCTCCCGAAGTTTGAGAAAAACTTCTATCAGCAACACCCCGACGTTTCCCGCAGGTCTCCGGTATGTGATCAGCATGCTGTTATGTAACACTGCTAGAAATGTGTGCCCCCCCCCTGCACGTGGTGTAGTTATATAATCGTTATGACCACTGAACTTGCCTCTTTCATTCCTTTACAGCAAGAAGTTGAAAATTACAGAAGGGCCAAAACCATTACATTTAAGGGGAGAGAGTGCCCCAATCCCATTGCTAAGTTCCACGAGGCCAGCTTCCCATGTAAGTATAAAACGGTGTCATGGTGAAACTGTACAATGAAAGAGGTTTGGTGCATATCAATTGATTGTTTTCCTCTTTTCTTCAGCTTATGTGATGGATGTCATCAACAAACAGAACTGGACTGAACCAACACCCATCCAGGCTCAGGGCTGGCCTCTGGCACTTAGTGGCAAGGATATGGTTGGAATTGCACAGACTGGCTCTGGAAAAACGCTCTCTGTAAGTTACAAGTTGTCTGCTTTATGGCATTAATAACCTTTCTAGCAAAAACCAGAGAAATTGGCAGATATAAAGGGGTTCGATTCAAGAGAGCCTTTCTGAAGTGATTTTAAATCAATGGTCAAAGGTCAAATCAAAGGATATATAATTAAAGACTTTTTGATCCCACACTAAAATTGCTTGTTACTGCAGCTCCAGATACAACAGTGATAGAAAAGAAAATGCACAAATAAAAATAGAATACTGATGTATGTCATTTTTAGCTCAAGCAAGTGACTGTTACATGTGTTTGCTTTACAGTATTTGTTGCCTGCAATCGTGCACATCAACCACCAGCCTTTCCTGGAACGTGGAGATGGTCCCATTGTAAGTAGTCATAACAATGTCATTGGTTTTAACACTCTACCCAAAGAAACACACTTAATGACATAGCAGCACAGAAGTACTGACCATAAACTCAAAGCTTTAATTAGAAATGGTGGTCTGATGACATCTGGCCAGAAATCTTATTTCAACACTGGGAACTGAATAAAGTGTGAAACTGTGACTGAAAATCTGTAATTTCCTCCTCGACAGTGCTTGGTGCTGGCCCCGACCCGTGAATTGGCACAGCAGGTGCAACAAGTGGCTGCGGAATATGGCAGAGCTTCTCGCCTCAAGTCAACCTGTATCTATGGAGGAGCACCCAAGGGACCCCAGCTCCGTGATCTGGAAAGAGGTATTGTGGGGTTTTTTGTGGGTCAAAATGTGGGAATTTGTTCAAGAATTGAATTCACACAATTACTCTTCTTTCTATAGGTGTGGAGATCTGCATTGCCACGCCAGGAAGGCTCATCGACTTCCTCGAGGCAGGAAAGACGAACCTCCGCAGGTGCACTTACCTTGTGCTGGACGAAGCCGACAGAATGCTGGACATGGGCTTTGAGCCACAGATTCGTAAAATTGTCGACCAAATCAGAGTATGTTTTTAGTTTATTTGGACAGCTACTGTAGAACACCTTCTCACCCCTTGTGTATTACTTTAAGAGGGAACATGTTGCTAATTACACTGTTTGTGCAGCCTGACCGTCAGACTCTGATGTGGAGTGCCACTTGGCCCAAAGAAGTTCGCCAGCTGGCAGAGGACTTCCTGAAGGAATACGTCCAGATCAATGTTGGGGCACTACAGCTCAGTGCCAACCACAACATCCTGCAGATAGTGGATGTCTGCAATGATGGCGAGAAGGAAAACAAGTGAGTAATGTGTCAATGTGCAAGTGTTGAAGCCAATGTTTTGACGATCGCCTTGGGTGACAGATTCAGAAATTAAAACTTCATGTCTTTTTTTTAGACTCATCCGTCTGCTTGAGGAAATCATGAGTGAGAAGGAGAACAAGACCATCATCTTTGTTGAAACAAAGAGGCGGTGTGATGACCTCACCAGGAGGATGAGAAGAGATGGGTAAGTGTTGAGATTAAAATACTGATTCACAGCATTGACTGTTGTACTTTTATAGTTACAAAGTACTAAGTATGGTATTAATATTGAAACCTTTTTTAATCCTTTTTAGATGGCCAGCTATGGGAATCCATGGAGATAAAAGCCAGCAGGAAAGAGACTGGGTTCTCAATGGTAAGCTTGCATCACCAGTACATTAAATCAATGGTTAATCAGCTGTGCAGATGGCAAGAAATTAATTTATCATGTCTGATTTTTATTCTTTAATTTTTCAGAGTTCAAATATGGGAAGGCTCCCATTCTCATTGCTACAGATGTTGCCTCCAGGGGTCTAGGTCAGTATCCTCCCTAAACCATTTTGTACTCTAATGTATTTGAAAAAGAAAGTGTATTTGCTTTCTTTAACTCTTCTGCTTCTTTCTGAGTTTCTCCCCTGACCTGAAGGAGCAGTCTGTGTGGCAGGGCCTTGGCATGACAAGCCCAGGTCTCCAGAGGGGGAAGGAGGATTCTTGGAGGTGTCCTGACTGGCGAGGCACGGGTCTCCCAGTCGTGCAGATATACAGAGGTGACCAGGCCCAAGTGCAGCATAACGCGCTGGCCTGCCTAAAAAGGGGGGGCGAGTTGAGGGCTGGCCACAGTTCCTCCCCCATATGCTCGTCTGTTCTCTGGCAATGGTTTGGACTG